CCTCCCACCCGTCACCTGGGGAGGAAGGTCACAACCTGCCTTGGGGAAGAGGGGAACGGGCAGCCGGAGAGGAGTCCCAACCCATGCATGGGGCACAGGGAAGGTGCCAGCTCCGATGGCTGCTGCTGCCCAGAGCCCATGCCGAAAGGGACGGGGGTGCCACAGGCCACCCCCTGCCATGGGAGCACCAGTGGCTCCGTCAGACGCCTGGTCTTGGCATCCAGTGCCCAGCCAGGGACACAGCAAGGGTTTTCCCAGCTCAGCTCTTTGCTCAGAGCATCCCCTGGGAAGAGCGAGAGCAGTGGCTGCCACGCTCCAGCGGCCCAAGGGGACCAGCGGTCCCTGCCCTGCCAGCGCTGCATCCCTCCGGCGCCATGGCAACGGGCAGAGCAATTAGTTCAATCAGGGCGTTCGCAAAAAGCTCTCTAATGAGACAGACGGAGCCCGGCTCCGGTCCCCTTCCCACCACACGCCTGCCGAGCTGGGGAGCCAAAAGCACGCAGGGATGGGACCTGCTCTTCTGCTACCACCGGTGCCACCATCACCGTCATCTACTGCCATCATCAGGACCATCACCACCCCTATGTGCCTCTGCAGGAGTGTCTGTCCCCCGAGGAACAGCATTTAAAGGCCAGAACTGCAACCAACATCGACATCTGTAACAGGCGTGGAGACCACGGGGCTCTGCTCTTCTCCCGGCGCCTTCAGATGGGAAAGGGGGATCTCCACACCCCACCGGCAACACACACCGGGCGGGACCCAGCAAGGACTCCAGCCGCCGCCGGTGCAGCCAGGCGGTGCTCCGAGAGCCCCATTGGGATGGGGCAGGGACATCGCACGGCCCCATGTCCACCACTGTGGGCAGGCAGCTGGAATAGTCCGAGGAGTGAGCGATGGAGAGCAGGGGGAGGAAGAGGAGCCAGGCGTGGGACAGTCCCCAGCCCAAACTGGCCCCCTCTGGCACAGCCCCCGCCCCACACGCCGGCACTCACTGGTACAGGCTGCTGCCGTGCTGCCGCTTCTGGCCCAGCCTGGCCCGGCTCGGCTTGGGTTCCCTGGCCATGTCCAAATCTGAGGGGAGAGAAAGGAGGGGAATGAGTGCTGGGAAGAAAAGGGGATGCCAACACGCTACCCCACACGGACGCATCTCCAGCACCAGCTTCTCGGGGGCTCCCGGCCACACTCCTCTCCTGGCTGGAGGCATCCCACTCCACAGCACCCACTGGGTGAGCCTGAGGCCGGCAGCTCTCTCTAGGTTTAAGCTTTTGGAGGACAGAAGCAGCCCAGGGTTGTGCTGGGACACAGAGCTGCTCCTCCAGCAGCCTCTTCCCACGGGTGCCCCACGCACAGCATTGCCCCGTCCCCAAGAGCCCGTGCCTGTCCAAGGCCGGGCAGACTCCAATTAGGGCGGTAGAAAGCACCTCTGACGATGAGGGTAATTAACCCCCAGAGACATTTCCCACCACCGCGGTGAATCTGCCTTCAGTACCACTCCTGCCGGGCAGTTTGGCCATTTTTCGGAGAGCCCCGGGCCAGCAGGACGCTGGCGAGTGCTGCCCACCACAGATGGGTGCCGGGGATGGGGGAAGCCCCGCACGCAGGTGCTTCGCACTCCCAAAGGCTGCCGAGACGCGTGCAATGCCGAGATGCGGGGCAGAGGTGCCTCTGGACGCGCGGCTTAGCGATGCCACGTCACACCTCCCTGGTGATGCTCTTCACCCCTTCTTTAGGATTTCACAGGCAACGTCCATATAAAAGCCGGCTTGAATCTATTTTCTCAGTATACGCTTAAGAGCCACCGATGCAAAGCTTTACTAACATCTCCATATATTTAATTTTGTAATTTTGGGGGGCTCCAAAACCTCTCTGGCCCCTGGGGTAGGAGCCGGTGGGTGAGATGTTGAGGTCTCCCTCTTGCACGCTCCCCCTTGGCCATGACCTGCGCGACCAGCTGTCCTATGGTGACATTGTGGATGCCACTGCATCGGGGAACCCTGAGCTGAAGCTTCCCGAGTCCTCTGGGAACACAGCAGCTCATCGGAGAGGTCTAGACCTCCCCAAAAGTGTGGACACTGGCCACGGGTCCCCTCCAGCCCCGCATCCGCCGGAGCAAGGTCCCTCCATCCCTGTGGAGGAGAGGGCTACTGAGTGAGTTCTGAGCAGAAGCAAACTGGCACTTGTTTGCTTTCCAGGCTGTCACCTTGTGTGGCGAAGTCTGCGGGCTGGCTCTGATCTCGGGGCGAGCTGAGGAAGGTGCTCCACTCACCCTGCACGCCGGGTAACGCTGGCACCCATTTTCTGTGGGTGCAGCCAGCATCCCTGGGGACGGCCGAGCTCACTGCTCAGGGCCGGAGCCCACTGTCGACATCCCTCTCTCCAGCCCATCACACCCGCCCGGCAGAGCCACCCACTCGCCTCCCTGCCAGCGGGACGGAGACCTCAGCGCCCCAGCCAGGGACCCCAGCCATGGCCAGGCACCCTGTCACAGGCCGCCTGCACCGAGGGGACTGTCCTGCTGGGGCAGGGGACCCGGGCCAGCAGGGCTCCATCACCCCGGGGCCATCGGCCCTGCGCCTGGGCTCCCTTCCCCGTAATGGCAGTGAGGGCGTCCCGGTACTGGGAGAACATCCCTGTCCTGGGGGTAATGGT